CACCATTAAGCATTAGAGCCTAATCGATTTTGTAGATGGGGATTAGAATTTGCTTCATCAAGTATCACATGAATGACTGTGCTATGATTATTTTGACTTGCTTTCATCAAAGCAGTCCATCCATCATTATTTTGAAGGTCAACATTAGCCCCAGCAGATACTAGACTATGCACTATGTTAATGTTCCCAAGCTCACAAGCCACCATTATAGCAGTATTCCCATCTTCATAACGATAATTAATATTAGTTATTTCTAAATCAAGAAGAAACTGAACAGCTTCAACTTGCTCAGCTTTGACTGCATTAATCAGAGCATGCTCAAAAGTAAAATTTGTATTTTCATTTTCTTTAATGACTTTTTTATCATTGATGAAGAAACCAAAGACTCCAACGAGACGCATAAATTCTATTTTTCCTTCATCGACAAACTCTAATAGGCTATCAGCTGTAGAATCGAGAACTGTATATTTTATGATAACAGATCCCGTTAAAATTGTGATGTACTTCATAATAGATTGTTGGAATTCATCTGGTAGTAACTGCCGTATAAGTAGGGAGAGACCCTTGATGTTACTGCGAAGCCACTCATCATGTAACTGGAGGTGAATTTGAGGCATGTTTATAAGATCTGGTATGTGATCCTTGAATATATTTCTTAGAGCTACAGTAATGTGGCCTACTTTTGCTGAAGAACGTAGCTCATCAGCTTCTTTTTGTACTCTTTAAATTTAGTTACAAGCTCTTTGTCTTTAATGGGAAACTCTTCACTCAGGTCAACAATTAGCCTACAGTCAATGAAATCAAAGTACGGTTGGATTATTTCAAAAGCATCATCTAGTGTCTTGACATGAGATAGCTCATCACTTTTTCTTGTGCGACTTTTCATCCACCATATTATACTATTAAAGTGATCAGAATTCTTTGCTAGTTCATCCAAATTAGATTGTAATTTAATGAACAAACTTGAAAATTTTTTTTCTAGTCCTTCTAATGTCCGTTTAACTTCAATTTCTTGTTTCTTTGATTCAAAAGCAATGCTTTCTTTTTGTGGCCTTACTGATAGTGCACTAGCTGTAGGTCTAACAGATCTAGCACCGGCAGTAACCTGACGACAGTTAGTTTTGATATCCTGAGCCAACTGATTCTCATTTATTTTTGGACTCGCCACGCTTGCGTAGGCGGGTACTAAGCAGTTGTTTTTGGACTCGCCACGCTTGCGTAGGCGGGTACTAAGCAGTTGGGTTGTCATTCTGTCATTCTGTCACGAAAATTCCTGTTAATTCCTAGTCAATATCTTTTTTACTGACCTCTCCTGAGTTATAATTCTTTTTAAGATTTGAGAAAAAGATAATTTATTTAGCTCCGTTGTGTTTTCATAGCAATCCGTGGTAGCAAAAGCCGAATATTTTCAAGAATAGACCACTTTTCCTAGCCAAATCTTCGTGTTTCACTCTATTTGGTCAAGATTAGCATTGATAGGTAGAGAAAAGTACATAGATTTAAAAATATGTGGGAATTTTCTAATCTCTTTTTTGTTTGCGAGTTACAGTGGCTCAAAGTTTGTGATTTAGCCTCTTCGAAAAATTTTCAGGCAGCACTGGGGAAAGCAGGAGCAACCAAACTATCTCAGTCTCTTTAA